CTGCCTTCTTCCTGGCCCGGGCCTTTAAATAACCTCTCTGACCTCAGCAGCCCGGTCCAATCGAAGCTGCCAATACTGGCTACAAACCGACCAATCTACAAAGCATCCCTGGCTACCTGGGCCCATGCGCAGGGCCGGGCTTTTCCCCCCTTGCCCAGGTGCCAGGCTTTTGTCATGCAGACAAGGTGGGAGATCCCCGCCGTGAGGGATTCAACCGCAGCCTCTCAGGCTGGTAGAGACAGATCTCTGGAGAGGGGCACCGACAGTGGCATTTCTGGAACAGTCTCAAGGGGATGACTACAATGCAGTCTAGAGGTGTGATTTGACTAGAGCTTGTGTTGACACTGGGAAGTTGGGATACCAAAAACAGCTGTATTGTTACAAGAGGGTTCAGCCTGGGCTACAAAACCTGCCTTGCCCCAGGCTTAGATACATAGGTGGCTCTGAAGTGCTGAGTTCTAGTGTGCCACAACCTAATTTAAAGCTATTTCAGCACCTGGGCACTCGTCCAAGTAATAATATGATAATAATTTTGTAGCTTGCTTGTTTTATCACGTCATTAATCCATTGAACAGCAACTGGGTAACAATTTAAGGTGTGATGACTGGGTTAATCAAGCCTGAGGTGTAAGGTGCAAAGGGGGCCTCAGGTACATCTACCCCAGTGGCATCACATCTTTGGGCCATCTACACAGACCCAGGCCTGGCCTATTCAGAATGAAGAACTGGAGGCAGGTAGCTCTTGCTTTGAGGAGTTGCTCATCTAAGCACAAAACTGTAGACAAGGCTGGGCACCAGGAATGGAAGGGGGAGCAGAAGAAACAAGGCTGGTAAACATGGTGGAGAGCGGGGACAAACACTGACCTAATTAGAAAGCTAAGGGTACTGTCTACCACCGCCTAGGGCTTGGCTTTCCACGGGTCGCTTCCGGGGGGCGCCAGCCTAGTGCTGAGGGACTGGCGCGGCCACTTGGGTCAAGTGCAGGGGGTGGGTGAAACCAGGAGCTGAAAGCCTGCTCGCGGGCACCCGCGTCCCCTCCCCTGGGGCGGGCAGCCAGCAGCAGCCGCGAGGGGCTTTTCCTTCAGGCTTCCCCAGAGCAGAGGGCCGCCAGCAGCGATGACAGGACGGACTATGGGGCGAGGGGAGGACTCAATTATCAGCAGCTCCTGGTTGCACCCAGTCACCGTGCCCGCAGAAGCCTCCCGGGCCCAGCTCCAGCTCGGGGGTTAGGCTGAAGCAGTCCCCCCCCTCCCGCCAGCTGCCAGGCGCGGAGCCGCGGGGGGCCGGGAGCCAGGCCTGACCGGCGATGCTGAGCGCGGGGGGCGCAGCCCAGAGCCCGCGGGAGCCCGGCCGGACCGGAGGAGGGCTCGACTCTTCCCCTTCGGGGCGCCGGGGATGGAGCCGGGCGCCGCGGCTGCTCCCGCCCCGGCCGCTCATAAAGCGGCGCCCCCGCCCTCGCCCGCAGGTACAGCGGGGCTGGGGTGGGTGCTGGGGCTGTCCAGGCTGGGCTGAGTCCCTCCAGGGGTGCCGCGCACTTCCCGCCTGGCTGGGCCCCGGGGCTGTGCGTAGTTGTCCGAGCCCCGGAGCGGGAGGGAGCCCTACTGCCCCAGCGGAACAATAGAAGAGCAGAGACCTAGGCTTATTTGGAGTGGGCTTCCTCGTCGCCTTTGCTCGCCCAGTGTGATCGGAACACTAGGGAGGGAGGCACAGCATGCAACTGGTTTAGCACAACGCCCTTCCCTCCCCGGCTATTTAACTTCGGTATCTTTCAATTACAGGGTGTGTGGGGAGTGGGTAGTTCACTAATAATCCGCACCAAGTATATTCTGCTACACTGTTGTATGCATGAAGTTGTCAGTTAACAAGGGGTTGTCCACAGAAGGACTAAAGAAAGTTAAGGTGATTCGCTAAT